AAAATGGAAAAGAGCTCTACTGATAAGAATTTTTCTTTTAAAAAAAAAATCACTTTATTATCTATCAAATATAATTAAAATAACTTTTCCACCTTTTTTATGTTCAAATATATTTTCATGTATTGGAACGACCTCACAAGTGTCAATTATGGGAACTAATGTAATTCATTCCACTATCCGTAGTTGCTCTTCCATTGGAAACGTTATTCATGATGGCTGTGGCATAATCATTGTGCTTTTTACTCCTGAATTTTGCTTTTTTTGTTGTAATTAATTAAGAAAGCTATTATCCTTGTGGTTCAATTAGGCCCACTTAATCACCAACCTAATACATGCGCGGTGAATTGGACTGGAGGACATATATAATAGTTGTGATATTGCTTACCAATCAACATGAGAATCGGAGTCACATTGAGTCGAGAGCTGTAATTGCAACCCCTCACTTTAAAAAAAATTACAAGCATCAAGCCGGGCATATAAAATTTATCACTTTACACCCCTACTCTTAATATTTTGTACCATCTGAATTAAATGAAAAATATATAGGCTCAAAATTTATTAAATATATTATATTTTAACGATTTAGATAAGATATGAATAATATATTTATAATAAAAAATCATATTAATCTTTTCAATATAAATTTTTTAAAATGAAAAATGATGATAAAAAATATTTATGTTATTATAATTTTAATCTTAGTATAATTATTATTTTTTTAAAAATATTAATTTTTTATTAAATTATTTTACACCCCATAACTTTAGGTTTTGGCTTTGCCACCGATGAGAATCCTATATGCATATAATTAAATTAGAAACAACGTCCCAATGAGGACCACAAAATTAAGTTCGAGGACCTTAGAAAACTAATAATAATGATTGAGGACCACAAAATTGCAAAATTAAATTTAAAGACCATAATCTTTTTTTTGTAGTCCACACAATTTAAATTAGATTAGATTTCGGGAATTTGTAATCCTCAATCGTTGTTATTTTTTTCCTAAGTCCTTAATTGTAATTTTCATGGGATTCACTACAAAGTATGTTATTAGTTACTACTATTATTTTCCTGTAAGATCCCTTACTTTTATTAGATATTCACTATGCTAGATTTTCTAAAATGAAAAGGAAAACTGACACGTAATGTTTACTAACTTTCGTGGAACCCAGCTTTGTCAAAATGGGATTCACTGTTATGTATTAGAGTCTCTGTTCACTTTAATATACCATACGCGAAGTAGGTTCATGAATAAACAAAACCAATTCACAATTATGTGTGACTTCGGAGGACACTCCAAGTGGATGTAGTTTGCTGAATGCAAAATAAAGAAAGCTTAAATGTTTGGTGCTAAGCCGACTATAGATAAGTATTTATAATCAAAGATCTTAAATTTCTGAAATTATTTTATCGCCAAGTGATACAAACATAAAGGCCTACAGAGGACTACATCCAACTCATCTCAAATGATAGATTTAGCATAAGAGAGTCCAATGGCAAGAGGAAAATTTTTTAGCTCAAAAGACATTAATTGGACTGTATATCTAGATATTAAAGGTCCAAAGCAATTATATCCACATGAAAAGAGCAAAAGGGGCCTTATGGATAGCCTTCTTTATTCAAGCCCAAGTGCATGTTGTAATAGGCCAAGAGCGTTTGAGAATGTCATATTCCAAGTTTAACATTATCAATTAGGAATCAATAAGCACTCGATTGAGCTGGTGAGGAGCTACAATCAACCATTTCAAGGATGAGTGTTCGAATTCTTGGAGGTGACACCGCAATAATTAATGCAACCTGAAAAAGGTTATTCCATCAATACCTGTTTGCTACTGTAAGGTCCACAATTTACGGGAGGTTTGAATTAGTTTGGAATAGGCAAAGTACCCAATATATCCCAAGATACTAGGTGATTTCAACAACAACAAAATTACATAAAGGGTTAGTCTGTCTCTCAATATATGATAAATCAAAGTTTGAATCCTAATTAAAATATGTGTTTATATTTAGTGTTCAATTATGCCTCAGACATGATTATTTCTAATAATAATTGCCTATAATAAAAAGATACTTCTGCATAATAATAATGATGATGATAAAGTTCAACATTCAAGTGGAGCAAAACTAGGAGCTAAAGTATTCTATATAATAGATGTACTCTAAGGCCGGAAGTTCAAATTCAAGATCTGTCACAAGAAACTTAGATCTAAGGACTATAATGAGCATGTCCAAGAGTAGATGGTGAAGAAGCTTTGGTTAAAGAATGGTTGATTTCTTCTCATGGAGTCGGTTGCTTTGGTCAAAGGACTGCGATATCATCCACAAGTGTTAAATTTTCTTCTCATGGAGTCGGTTGCTAACAATGAACTCAAGCATCAAATCTTTTAATGTACCCATCCTTCAGAGCAATTCTGAACAACACTTGAACCAGATTGTATTCATGTTGATGTTGATGGTTCAATCCATCATAACTATCATGCAACTTGTGGAGGAGTTTTAAGAAACCACAGAGGAGACTAGATAATGAGTTTTCAACAAGCATTGAATTTCTGCTCTCCTATTAAAGCTAAATCAAGGGCAATTAAAGTGGGTTTGTTGATTTTCAAGCTAACTTAATTTTGCCAAAAGGTCATGATCTTTTTTTATTCTCTGCATGCTATCAATTTACTTAGTCGAGATGCTTTGTTGGAACATCCATTGAGACCACTATTACTAGAGATCTGTGATATGCTTTATGAAGATTGGGATGTTTCTTTATGTTATACTAGCAGGGAACACATAATGTGTGTGGATTTTATGGCCAAGGGAGCTTATCAAGATAGGTCCGATTTGTTTTTGATCCCAAATGTCCCCGCTGGTTGTTTGGAAAGGTTTTGTGAAGATTAGAGGATTCCTTAGTAGTTGTCTTGCTAATGTTGCAACAATCTGTAGTTTGTAATTCTTGTTTTTTTTTTATCAAGCTGGGCTTGCGTATGTAATTAAAAAAAAAAAGAATGGTTGATTGATTACATTGCTAAAAGCCCAACAATAAGCTAGGCCCACATGAAGTCCATGGTTGAAGAATTTAAGCTAAAAAGGCGTGGTTCTGATCTTTTTTTAACATAAAACGACGGAAAAGCTGGACATGGGGGGAGAAAAACATGTCATGCATGTTAAAATATAAAAGATTTCTGCACCCAGAAAATTGAATATTAACAATTTTAACATTTAAATTATCATTAAAACTTAATGTGTCAATCAATCAACAAAATTTATTTAATGGAAGAATGATAAAGAAGTCCTAAAGAGATTAATTAATTTAAATTAGGTCTCAAATAATAATATTAAGAATTTGAAAGTTCTATTTTTAATTTTATAAATTTATCGTGATAAATTTATAACTTGTGTTTTAAATTTTAATAAAATTTTTTTATTCTTCAACTATATTAAAATTTAAAAAATAAATTATAAATTCATCAGAATGAAATTACAAAATTGAAAGATAAACTTATAAATGGATAAAGTTTAACACTTAAAATTTAATTTAAATTAATTCACCTCAAAATTAATTTCTATTTACATTATCAAAAGTTGTGGGAATCTAAAAAATTCCTAGTCCATCAGACATCATGGGATCTGACTGTGACAGTAATACATCAGGCACCAAATATTGAGAGCCAGCTGGTTAAATCCAACTTTGGTTTCGAGCTTAATGGGTGAAAATTTGTTTTGAGAAAGTCTTAATTATCATTGATTTAGAAAGCATCTACCACAGCAGAAGCATTTTGGAATATCTAGATCAACGAGAGATTGAGAGTTTTATGGACAAGTAAATATGTAATTAATCAAAAAGACAAAAGCATCAGAGATCCTTTTCAAAAATCTTTAGCAGACAATTAGGAAAATGACACTGAGCCAATCGCAATCTTAGAATAGCCCTCACTCAACAATTTAAAATAAAACTACCATTATCATTGTTGTCGTCTCTGTAATTGTGATGGAGTTTAATTTAATTTATTATGAGAGCTTGCGTCAAACATATGCAACTTTTAGTTGTACCAAATTGAAACAGAATAATAAGTTCGTCTATTATTTCCTTCAACTGTTATAAACGTTACATAATGTTCGAATAATCATAGCCATAATTAGGGAGCTTGTAACTCAAATATAATAGCGATAATAAGCAGCTTGTAATAACACCTAACCTCTCTTGTGTTTAATTTCTTGTTTTAAGTTTTAGACTAAATTAAGTTGCCTTATACGGTTAGTATATATCAAATATGCATGCTTCTTATTGTTGAGTTTATCAATCAAGTAAAAATAAGAATTTCCTTTTTCTCAAATTGAAATTGTTTTCTCTTTTTGCCTCGTGACTTACAAATATGATATAATCTTGTATTTGTTGGAATCTTAGATATAAATCCTGAGTGTAGCGGAGGAAGAGATTAGGGAATTAAAATTAGTGCAAGTTCTTAGCCCATAACCTACAACTCCCTGGTTAACCAAGTTTTTCTAGTTTGTTCAGCCGGAGCTTTGTATAACAAAGTTTAAGCCTTTTTTTATTTTGCTTCAATTTAAATTTTACTTAATAATTCATAAGAATCATTTTTGAGTTTTTTGGAGATTGAAAGAAGCTGGTTCGTTCTGGCCATACCTAACTTTCTTTCACTTTCAAGTTTTTTGCTTTGTGATTCACAATCACTATGAGCTTTTTGTCTAATGATTCATTTTCCTCCAAAAATTACTTTGAGATTTTCTTTAGATTCTTCATATCAATACAAGCTCTTTCAAACTCAAGAGATAAGTGGGGTGTTAGGATATATTATTTATGAAGATTTATTTTGTTTAGATTTATTATATATTAAGATTTATTATATAAATAGATTTAAGAAATATTTTATATTCATTAGATATTGTTAACAAAGGATTTTCCTATAAAGATTGGACTATATCAGGGATCATCTCTGAGTCCTTATTTGTTCAACTTAATCTTAAATGTTCTGACGGAACATATTCAAGGGGAAATTCTGAAATGTATGCTCTTCGCGGATGATATAGTTCTTATAGCAGAGACAAGAGAAGATGTTAATTGCAAACTTGAGTTATAGAGGAGGACATTGGAGTCGAAAGGTTTTCGTCTGAGTAGAAGTAAGACGGAATATTTATATTGTAAATTTGATAAAGGACTATTTGACAATAATTTGAAAGTGAAATTGGGAGATCAAATTATACCTCAAGTGGAAAAGTTTAGATATTTGGGAGCCATTATTCAAAATAATGGCGAAATCAGTGGAGACATTTCACATAGAATTCAAGTTGGATGGTTTAATTGGAGAAAAGCTAAAAGAGTTATTTGCGACCGTAAGGTGCCTAATAAACTTAAAGGAAAGTTTTATCGCACTGCTATTAGACCGGCAATGTTATATAGTAGTGAATGCTGGGCTCTAACGGGACAACAAGAGCATAAAATTGGAGTAGCAGAGATGAGAATGTTACGATGGATGTGCGGACATACACGTAAAGATAAAATTCAAAATGAGCACGTTCGCAAAAAAGTGAGGGTGGCACCTATTGAAGAAAAAATGGTAGAAAATCGGTTGAGATGGTTTGGGCATGTACAAAGAAGACTAAGGGAGGCACCAGTGAGAAGAGTGAAACATATAACTTTGAGTCCGATTAAGAGAGGTAAAGGAAAGCCTAAGAGAATACTCTTGGAAGTTATTGAACGCGATCTCTTAATTAATAATATTCCTAAAAGCTTGATAAACGATAGAGCACAATGGCGTCTTGCAATCCATGTAGCCGACCCCACCTAGTGGGATAAAGGCTTGTTGTTGTTGTTGTTGTAGATATTGTTATGATATTTATTAATTATTATTAGATTTATTTATATATTGTAAGCTGTTCATATCAATAAAGTATGACACTTTTCCAACTTCTTTTATTTCTCGCTTAATTTTTTTTCATTTAATATACAAAAAAAAATTCTTAGATATGAGATAAGTGCATTTCTCATTTCTTTTTTAGAAAGCACTTTTTTATCTACCAAACAATAGCTTAGAGTATATGTTTACGTTGGAAACTTTCAGGAACTGTGGTTGTGCTTAAATTATGGTTCTTGATCATACACAATAATTTGTAAACATATATAGGCTTAACTAATAACTAAAGCCTTCTGAAACTTTTAATTCGTAACTATATATATGTAGGTCAATGTATAATGTTTTCATATTTTATATTGATCGAGCCTTCAATATGTGTTATATGTAAGGTCATTCTTACAAATCCATACTTCACACAAAATCCAAAGCAATAATTAGATTAATCCATTTAGACTATCAAGTTCGTAATATTTGCATAGAGATGAAATCTCAAGTTTTCAATTTTAAAGAATAAACAATATCATTTTGCAAATTAGGAACACAATAAAATATAAATATGGAAGTATGGGATATACCTTCAAAAATTTTAAAACCGTGAAAGTCCTCTTGTTCCCCAGCCCAAACTGGGAGATACGTCATGGCATAGCGCTCCTGCACCATGGCATATCTTCTCTGTGCTATGTGTTATGAGATGTTGCATGTTTTGATAACACTTTTGCTATCATTTTGATAGCATTTCAGGCAACTTTCATCTTGCCTCAAATCTTTATTTGATGTCTGATGGATGCGATCTAGGTGTCTATAAAAAGTTTTTCTTAAACCCTAGCTATTGGCACAAATTCTACTTTCAAAAAATTTTATATAAAGGAGTTGAACTCTCAAATACATTTTTTAACACTTCTTACACTTTTCTTAACCAAAGGGTGTCCAAAACCACATACAAATGCCAAGCTATATTTGTCACCTAGACTATACGCAATAGACTTAGTATCACCTGTGCAATATATCATATACACGAAATAACTACAAGAACTCATTATCCAAGCCTCAATCCCTTAATAACAAAAACAATTGAAAGTCAACCATTTTCATTTAATAAATATTCATGCATGGGGAACAATAAGAATCCTCCCTAAACTTGTACTAACATTTTGGCTATATTAACAAAAATCAAATTTAATTACAACATTTCAAGGTCTAAAATACATCTACTAATCATAATCATCTCTATAGTACAAGTATAGTAAAAAAATGCATTTGTTTATTAGCAATATCCTATCAACTACACAAAATAAATAAGTTTGGGAGGTTTTATAGTAGAAATAGTAAATTCCTAAGCCTTCAGAGCCTATCTTTTTCCACACCCAAGCTAAAGTTCTTGGGGTTTAATTACTTAGAAACACCTCCAAGCTTTTTAAAATTGATGCTCTAGCAAAGAAAAGTCATGCTCCTTCATTTTCTCACACTTTATCTTCTAATTTTTTTAATTGACATTGCCTTATTTTTGCAAAATTTTGACTGTGCGCCATGGCGCATGATGGTTGCACTGCGGTTGACACTTCTTGCGCTCTGGTGGATGGTATGGAGAGGCTCCCCCTCTCTATTTTAGCCCCTTACATTGTGCGGATAGTGAACACACTGTGATACTTGGCACAGACACACACCTCATGATTTCTCTCCCTCTTTTGCACTTATATGGCCTAAACTCAGTCTCAAACCTATTCCTAGGGCTAACCCCAACTCAGATGGTCCTTTAATCCTCTTTAATTGTCCTCTAAATCAATTCTACTTAATTAAACTTGATTACCTCCTTAATTGACTAAAGGATTGAAATTTTGGATGTTACATTATACACAACGCAATTATTATTTTAGAGCATTCACATGTGACGTGCAAAAAGAGAAGGGTTTAAGTAGTAGCAATAATTAACTAGAGAATGAAATAATATTTCTTACTTGGGACATAACTTCGCGAGATCACTTTGTGATTGATTATTGCACAACAAATCCATCTTGAATAAAATTGCCAAATAGACCAATAGTGTGTGACTACTTGTATACATAAACACGTTTAGGTATGTGAGTAATTAAGCCGGTGACTCGTCTATATATTGGCTTTGGTCCTTAATTTGTTATATAGTTTTATCGCTCTCTGCATGGCTTCTTCATCACTATACATGTAGATAAGTTGTATGTAAAGTACAGAATTTTACACATTCATATAATATAAGGAAACCCAAATAAAGAAGAGATGGAACATCACTGAGTATATGATGAATAAATATAAGACAAAATCATTATGTAAGACAACCTCGTTAAGTCACACCAAGTGGCTAACCTAGTATTAGAAGTAACGTTAGATTTTCTTATATGCTTCATACGCTTTGTCTTGTACAAAAGGAAACAGAAAATGGGGTTGGATTCTTCTGCCCCTGGCTCCTTTATATGATTTGGACCCTTCAACTACTTCCATTATTTGCTTGGCTTTATATATAAGATCCTTATATTAATCGAATCGATTAGCTCGTTAGCACAAGAAGGTGATCCATGAAGCTCCTCCATTTTGTCCTTGTTGCTGTCTTGGCTTTCCAAGCAATGTTATTTGGTTCGACTTTGATAGAAGCCAGACCTTTTCTGCCACCAGGTGATTCATAATTATAACTGTTTCTGTGTCACACACACACACGTCTTTTGTTACGTACTCATGCAGATAATGATACTTGCTTGTTATGTGAACTCGATGTATATATACATAATGTATGGTGCAGTTTTAAGAGGCAATATTTAAAAGAAAATGATAAGTATAAAGATGAAATATGTACTTTACATTGTCCGATATCTGTGAATATATGAAAGTTTGGCTGGTGAAAAAAAAAAAAACAGAGAGAGATATATATATATATATATATATATGAAAGCTCAGGGGCATTTATATAAATATATATTGGTTCGACGCGAAAAAAAGTCCTTTGCTTGGGAACAGATAAGAAATACTGTAGCAGTTGCTGGTGGATGGGAGGACACGGAGGTTCACGGCGGGCGCCACCACCTCCACCTAGTCATTCAGGTGGTCCGACTCCGAAGCTGCAAGGTGGTCTGACGGTGACGAAGCTTCATCCTCGACCACTTCCATTTTCTACAACTTCACATGGTCCAAATCCTTCATCTTCATATCATATCAGAGGCACAACAACGGCCCAATATTATCCTGAAGCAGCTTCAGCCTGATATATCCCTCTATGTATGTATGTATGTATGTAATTGCTGTTGCTTATGTTATGATCCTATATATCTTTGTGAATGTTTTGCTACGAACATGCATGTGCATATGTGTGTGTTTTGATATCTTGAGTCTTGACTTTGGTCAGGATATCAAGTCGTTGCATATATGAGATGTGCATACAGAGTTTGGCTCTGACTGCACCGGCTAAGACTACAAGTGTTTGCACCGGCAGAGAGAGGGGGATCAGTAGGAGTCACGACTCCCCCAATTTTCATAAATTTTTTTATATTATATAGATATTATATACTTTCAATTCCCCTAAAATTTATAAAACATTAAAGTATATATGTTTTTTTAATTTTAGTCCTCTTATTTTTAAATCTTGCCTCGGCCCCTGAGTGTTTGACTTTTTTTCAATATTGTATTTTAGTATGTTTTTTTATGCTTCACTTCAATAATATAATATTGATTCAAATAAGTGCATGGCTGTAAGGACGTGTGTGCATCTATCTATATATATTGTTGGAGAAAATGTATCTATCTTTTTAGAGAGAGAGAGAGAGAGAGATATATATATATATATATATAAGTATAAATTTTTTTAGTTTGTGTATTTTAATCGGTAAATTTTTTTTTGTTTGTTTGTAAATATAGTTGTTATCCAATACTAATAAATCAAATTTAAACATTATCGGATCTAATTAAAAGTAATTTTTTCTAAAAAAAGTTTTGGTTTGTAGTTAAGATGCAGCGGACCTGAAAGAAGCTTTTGGGTTTGTAGATTTTCACAACAACGTTTATAACTATAATAAGATGAAATACCGGATCAAGCCTAAGCCACTCCAAATTTAAACAGGATCTTTCAAGTTTTTGAATTTGTAATGTTTAACAGTTTAAAATTTAGGTGCACAGATTAAAAAAAAATACAATTAATACATCGAAATACTAAGTGTATTGCCAAATTAACTTGCCCCTAATACATCAAAAAAATAAAGCTAACGGAGTAAATAAAGGTATGTATAATAGGGAAAATATTAATAAACGCTGCTTTGAACTTATGAAAAGAATTCTTAAAAACAACTTTAATCTGAACACTACACGTGCTTATCATGATTGAGGCTTGGGGTGTTGAATTTAATTCAATCCTAGGGCCGAAAATATAGGTTGAAGTCATTGGACTTGCATTTAAACTCATTTAATTTCTTTCAAACTTGAATTTTAAAAATTGAAGTATTTTTATATAAAAAAGCTTGGCAGCCCTACTTTTTTAAACCCTAAACAAAAGGGAATCGAGTTCAGGGTTACCTGTTTAAGTCTATATTTATTTTAATTCTGAAAATTATAATATTTTATATCTTTAAATTAAATTTAAACTTTAAAATATGTGTTTGTACTTTTAAAAAAAGATTTTTATCCCTTATTCTAAATTTTAGTAGATTTAAATTTGTAACTTTGAAATATAAATATGTAATATTATAATGACAGTCTTAATTTTAAAAAATAAAAACGATCTTCAAACCTTAAGCAATCAATAACTCGAACTTAAAAAAATAACTGCTTTTTTTTTTTAAAGTAAAAAGGACTTCTTGACCCGGGCTTATATCATCACAAATAGGATCGTAACATGTAGTATAAAATATACAAGTATTTTGCAGAGTAGTATTTATTTACGACAGATTTGAAGTAATTTTTTCTTTAGTAAGCATAAGAAATAAGCACTGTCAAGGTATTCAGAGTAAATAGTGTAGATATTTTCTTAATAAAATTGTTATATCTATAAATATATAAGGATATATTGCGATTCAACCCAACCACGTACTTAATGATGAATCGATAAGAGCCTCCCACGTCAATTTTAGTAGATGATTTCAAGCAGATAATGCTGGGGACGAAGATAGTTCGGCGATAACGGTAGAAGGCATGTAAGCCCATCATTCACTTCATTAATTGATTGGGTTCCATAGCTAATTACTAACCTGTTTCTATCGGGGCATTCAACTGGAATGGATTCCCACAATCAATCAATTTTTTCATTAATATAAAATATAAACTATATATATATATATATATAAGTTTTCTTCTAAAAAATAAAGCTAGTTCAATTTATAAATTACCCCCTTCATCTCAACTTATACTAGTACCAAAAAAGGCTATCTAAATTGGTTTAGAAAAAAGAAAATAATTTTTTAAACCGGTTGTTGAATATAATTATGTTCTTTTCTAAATCAGTTGTTTAACTGGTTTAGAAAGTTGACCCAAAATAATAGTAAAAAATTATCTTTTAAACCAATTATGTATTGATAACTAGTTTAGAAAGGAAATATTTTAATCCAGTTATAACATCATAACCGGTTTAAAAAGTAGTCTTTTTTTCTAAAAAAATGTTTCATTTGTTTTATTTATAATCCTTTGTTTGTCTTACTAGTGGATATATGATATAATTTTCTCTCTTTTCCTTTGGAGAACCTCTGAGATGTGTGTATAATATTCTCTCCTTTCCTTTGGAGAGCTTCTGAGATTTGTGTTTGTTTGTGCGTGCGTGTGTGTTGTGTGTGAGTCTCACTCAAACACACTCTCTCTTGGGTGTGAACTGAGTAAAACATTTTAAATATATTATTTTTGCAAAATCACATGTTTCAATAAAGTTTATTAAATATATTTTATAATTTTATTTTTTTAAAAAATATAAACTTTTAAAAATACCTTTCATTTTTTACTTTATTTGTTAAAGAATATTAAAGAGAGATAATATAATGAAAAAGGTGATATTAAAAAATATTATGAATGAAATATTATTTCATTGTTTTACATTTTAAAACGCCCAATCCCCCTTAGAAGTATATTTAAAAGAAGGTGGTAGTATATTATCAATTATCAATTGTATTAAAATGTTAAATGATTTTTTTACCCCAGCATTTTAATTGCGGCCTCCTAGACAAGTTTTAAGATTTCTTTCCCAAAGAACAAAGATAAATAGGGACACAATTGGAATTTTATGGGATGTTTTTAACAAATAAATTGATCTAACAACTATTCTTAATTTAGGTGAAAATATTTAAAATATTTTATTTTTCTATTCAGTATTATAAAACATTTTTATTTGAATTATATATCTCAATGATTTAATCAATCATCCTTAAAATTATATTCAACAAAAAAAGAGAGTAAATGAGCAAATTATCATTGTTTTAAAAATCAAATTGAACTGGACAATTGGATAGATTGAACCATCAACCAGAATTGTTAACAACTCAATTTGGATTAAAAAATTATTTTCCTAATTGATCAAGATTGGGTTGGAGTTGAATCACTATTAAATTAGAAATTAGAGCAATTTTCAAAAAAATCAAAAAATTTTAAATATAATAGTAAAAAAAAGCTTAAAAATTTTAAAAAATAGAAAAATTTAAAAATTAGATCCCTATTAAAGGCCAACTCTATTTTTGGACAATTTACATGTATAAAATATAATTTAAAATTATTTTTTTAAAAAGATATTGAGAGTTATAAATGCAAATGCTACTTTTAAGTCTATTTATATCTAATTTAATCAAGATCTACCTATATTTGATAAATTATAAAATTATATTCATATTTATAATATTGTTAATTTACAATCATGTTATATAATTTTATTAACAACTAGGCATATCTTATATATGTTTCTTATATTTATCATACATACATACATACATATATATAATATTATTTTTATTTAATTATTATATCACTGGTCTAATTGCTAACTTTTTTAGTTCAATGTTCAGTTCAGCTTTTAAAACATTGTGAATTGACCCTTGAATTTTAACTCCAGTAGCACCATATATTCTAAACTATTTTATTATACAAATCAGTTTTTTAAGTTTTAAAAATAGTATAATTTAGTCCCTATTATTAATAAAAGTTAATTTTAACTGTTAGTTGATTAAAAAAACTTTTTTTTGCCTTTTTCTATAATTTTTAGGTCCTTTATTATAATTTTTTTGGTCCTTTTATGTAATTTGAGGTACTTTTTTGTCATTTTATAGTTATTTATCGGTCAAAATTAACTTTTGTTAATGACCGAAGGCAGAAGGCATCATTTTCAAAAGTTGTGAGAATAATTTGCACAATAAACATGCTTATAATCTATGATATTATTGGATCTAAAATTTAAAAAGTAATTTGCTTATTTATAAAAAAATTACATATAAAACATTTTTAATTAAATTACATATATCTTAACGAGTTAGTTGATTATTTTCAAAAGTACATGATTAACAGGATATTTTAATTAAAAAATATTATTAATTACACTTCTAATTAAAGGTGTTTTTGAAAAAAAAATTGTTAATTGCATTTTAAAAAAATTAAAATGTTTTATATTTTTAAACATAATACTTTAAAAAAAGGTCTTATGACATTGAATTGTGAAGAAGTGTATATAAGTGAAATATTATTTATTTTTCAAACACCGAGGAACCAATAAAGCTTTTAATTTTCTTTTTAAAAACCTTGAACGGTTAAAAGTCTGAACACTCAATGTGAAATTATAGAAGGAAATGCAAGATGTCAGCAAAGAAGGGAAGGAAAAAAAAAAAGCTTAGGCTCGTTTGTTTACTGTTTTTAAAATTTATTTTTCTATTTTAATATTTTTAAAACAAAAAAAGTTGCTTGGATAATGGTTTTATAATTTTTATTTTAAAAACTTTTTTTAGTTTTTTGTTTTTAAATACAAAAAAAGCAAAACAAGTTTCAGCTGTTTCTATTCCTTGGTTCCTGATTTTTTTAATCTGACCGAGCAACTCATCTCATTTCAGTTTCTTCTTCTTCGAGTTTGCTTTTGGTGTAGAGGAGTTCATCCTCTCGTCGGCGTCGCTGCCTCCATTCTCGCCGGCGTCGCCTTAGACGGTTCTCTCTCCTTTCAGCAAGTCTGTTACTAGCTAAATTTTCAAAAGAGGCGTAAGTTAGTTCCTTCTCATCCATCGCTTTTCATCTTCACTTTACTTCATCACATTTCATCTTCACTTTTAGGTTATTGCAGATGCTCAAATTTTTCTTCTAAATTACTTCACCTATTACTTTAATTTGTTAGATCTTATATTTGAACTTCATCGCTTTTCATCTTTAATCGATGCACATAGATCTAGCATTTGAATTGTTATAATTTTGTTCTTGTTCTGCTGTTTGTGTTGCTGATTCTGATTCAGCTAATTATTATATTATTCCTTTTGAGTTACACTAACGCAGAGGTAGATTTCGCTAAATTTACTTTTCATGTTGTTATTATTATGTAGTTCCTTCTGGTTCTGGTGTTATTGTAATTTTGTTTAGTTTCAAATCATTCTTTTGATTTAAAGGAAGGTAGTGATAGTAGGAAAGTAGATTTAAAGGATTGAAAATTGGTCTGAACTCAAACATAAGCACAGAAACTTCTTAATGGTGCTTGTTGGAGTTAAACTTCTCCATTTTCTTTGAATTTAAGTTGAGTTAGTCTACTTACTATAATATTCACTTATGATAGATGGAAACTAATGTTGACTCAAAGATGTAGATTGACCCAATAGTTAAAGCTTTGATAGACATTTTAGTTGAAGAAGTCCAAAAAGGAAATATGCCAAATGGTGTATTTCACTCTAGAACATGGACTTCCATGACTGCAAGGTTGAATTCTATAACCAATCATTCATTCAATGTTAAGCAACTAAAACAAAAGGTGAATCAACTGCAGAGTATGCATCGTGAGTTCACTTTATTATTGAAACTCACTGGATTTAGGTGGAGTGCAGAAACAAACACTGTTACTGCAAGTGAAGAAGTTTGGCAAAACTATCTTCAGGTATGTGTTCATTTAGTATTTGTCCTATCAAGGGTCTTATAGTCTTATCAGAATCTGTATTTTTTAAGTCCATTAAATAACTGTATTTGTTGAATGTACATGATTATTTTCTTTTTGGTCCATTAAATAACTGTTGGCTTTTACTAGTGATTTGCTCAAAACTGCTAGTAAATTGCAGTGATCTTGACTTATGATTTTGGAATCGCTTTAGCAAGGGTTCTTAAACCCACCACTAAGCTTTTTTCTTTATTTATTAGTGAACTATTTTTGTTGTAGAGGAGGTTGTTGTGTATAGGAGGTTATATCTATGGCTGTTCTGTCATACATATTCCCATTTACATGTCTTTGTTTTTGCTTTTTCCCCTAGCCACATATTGTTGAGGCAACACTTGGCTTATACTGTTGAGGCAAGAAATGGCACTCACAGGGTTTGGTTGGTTTCACCATGTGGAGTTATATTGATTCCTTGATATAAATGCACAATATTTACTTAACTAGTTGAAATAGTTGAGACTGGTAGCTTCCTTGGCTTCTGAATTATATTGGTTAAAATGGTTAAAATTAAGGCAACTTTCCATAATTCCATTTCATTCCCTCAATTATTTGATGGAATAGTACCATCTGCTCTCAGACTTATAGGTGTCAAATAGAATTAACTAGCTAGCATGGACTCATACAGAGTAAAGTGGGCTCTCTGCAGAGAACCTGATCATGTGCATATTACCCTTTGTTCATTCATATAGAGAGAGCAACATCTGTATGTCAAAGATCAATTCATTAATACGCTTTGCTTTCTATACACTACATCATGTCCGTAAATCCAAAACACATGGGCCGCCATGCTTGTCCAATATATCCTTCTCATTTGACATTTCTATCTTCTTTCAGTGTCTTTATCGTATGTTTTATACCGCATTCAATATCATCAATTACCCAAATCTATTTGTCAATATTTTATATTAACTAGTAGGTAATCAAGCAAACAAATTAGCTTTCTCCTTCACACCTCTCTTCTACATTCTCCAACTTGTCACTTTCTATTTTAATACAAATGTTAAATTGCATAGCCCCCCACTCCACACGGATGCCTTGTTATTAAAAATGAGTCTTTTTTGAAATACTATCAGGTACTATATATATATTTTCCTTTTCCCTACAATGGAACAGCAGGTCATTTTGCATTCATTGGTTTCCCATCTCACACTGGGCATTCAATAAAAAGATGCTCATGATCTACAGATCCAGGAATTGAATTTTTCTGACTGAAATATACATATACCATATGTGCTTGTTTGTGTGTATGCATATGTTTGCTAATGTGCTAACACACTCTCACACGTGTATGGAAGTGACTGACAACCATATATGACATGAGTGAGATTTATGTGGAAAGATTAAAAAGTTTCAACTATTATTTTGGGTTCTCTTATTGCTGTTAGTACATTTTCTTTGTTACATGTTACCAATAAAATAATTACTGATTCTTTCCTTGATCTTTAGGCACATAAAAAGGCTGCTCAATTTCGAAAGAAAGGATGTGACCACTATAAGCTATTGGGAATCATATTCAACAGAAGTACTGCAACTGGAGTACTCCATCACTCTTTTACCCAAGACCCACCAAATAGTGATGAAGAAAATGAACTGAAAAATCAATATCTTAACAGTGGGGTTCATAGAGATGATAAGGATAGTTCAAATGATGACATTCAAGAGGTGGAACATATCACACAAAGTGGAAAATGTATAATTCGAACCAAAGAGCACAAGTCTAAAAAAGAGTCTAGAAAATATCAAATGACAGAAGCACTTGCAGCATGGGCTGAAGCTTCTAAGGTAAGAGCAGAAAAATATAAGGGTGGTAAGAGTGTGGAGGCTAATTCTGAATATACTGTAGCTAAATGTGTCATTGCTCTTGAGGAGATTGAAGGCATTCGAGCAGACATATTTGTCAAAGCTTTGGAAAAATTTAGGAAATATGATTGGAGGGAAATGTTTCTTACTATGTCTGTTGATGGGAAAAGGAAATGGTTAGATATGCTTTAAAAACATATTTGTTGATCAATTAGGAAAGAATCTCTAGTAACATAGTGCCATCGGCTATAGTCATGCAGATTATGTGTACCTATGCAAATATTGTCATTTTCTCTTCTTTTTTTCCCCTTTAAATGTTAGGTTCAGAACTTGCAAGCCTATATGTTTACACACACATGCCCCTTTTATATGAAAAACTAGCCATGCAATTATCAATTAGTTGGTGTGTAGGAATGATCATTTGAAATTGAATAGTGTTATATGTGTTTGTAAAGTTGATTTTGTTCTTTTTAAAATTGTATGACAGGTTATAAATAGAATGGATGTTGATAAAATGTCAAAGAGAAGTGATGAATATGCTTCTGAATCAAGTGATGATGACTTGCCTGAGTTATTGATAATTGATATTATTTATGATTATGACAAGGACTTTTTAAATAAAACAAAGGTTCGAACATCTACATTATCTGGTCATGACTTTGTTGCTGAGGTATTAAATGGATCTGAACAACTTGCTTTGACTTGTTTCGAATGGAGAAGACATGTTTTGTTAACTTTTGTAATGAATTGAGGGGGAAGAGCTTCTTAACAGAATCAAGAGGTGTACTTATAGAGGAAAAAGTTGCAATGTTTTTATTCATAATTGGTCATAATGTTCGTCACAGAGTTATTGCAGATCGTTTCCAACATTCAACATAAACAATTTCTCATTGCTTCAAAGAAGTGTTAAGAGCAATATGTCAACTAGGAAAAGAGTTGATAAAACAAGAATCCTTGGAATTGCCCGACAAAATTAAAACCAATGCAAAATACTATCCTTGGATTAAGGTATGGAATTTTTCATTTATAATATCATTTATATGTTAGAAGTAATGTATTTTTTTTGTTTGGGTTTTATTGTTGAATTGTTTGGGTACAATTGATGGCACACATATTAGCGCATGTGTCCCTGCTGATAAGTAAATTTTATGTCAAGGTAGAAAGTCAATAGTTACGCAAAATGTCATGTGCGCTTGTGATTTCAATATGATGTTTACATATGTGTATTCGGGATAGGAAAGAAGTGCACATGATGCAAAAGTTTTTATGGATGCACTTACCAATCCAAATACACATTTTCCTTGGCCGTCTAGAGGTGAGCACTAGTATTATAATTTTGTTTTGCTTTGAATAAATATTTAAATTTTAATTTAACATAGTTTATATTGACTTAGATTTTTTCTATCTTGTTGATTCTGGCTATTCATGCACTGGAGGTTTTCTTCCCCCTTATAAGGGTGAAAGGTATCATGCGCAAGAATATAGAGGCGAAGCTAGACAGCCCAAAAGTCGGGAGGAATTATTTAATTATAGGCACTTATCTTTGAGAATGACAATTGAACGTTGCTTTGGAGTTCTAAAAAATAGATTTCCTATTTTGAAGTTGATGCCTCCATATAAACCTACTAGGCAGTGATTAATAGTTATTGCATGTTGTACAATTCACAATTATATATGCAAATGAAATTTGCGTGATGAATTATTTAGGATTTGGGAAGAAAAGGATATAAAGATAGATGTTATGAATGAAGCTCCTCATGAGATAGGGGGAACGAGCTCAAATGATAATATCTTGTTGAGATTATCTGATCAAGGCGCAGCAGATATGGCAATGTATAGAGATCATCTTGCAAATAGGATGTGGGCACAACATAACTAATAGATTAGTTGAACTGATTTGACAACATTGGACATCTTGTTATGATAAACAAGATTGAAGTAATAGTTTTCAAAACATTATTCCATTTATCTCATGAACTTTTTATTATCCTATGTCATATATATTACTTTTATTTTTTATTTGTCTTTGGAGTAAATGTCAGTTTCAAATTGAATTTAATTCATGAATTCTATTTTTTCTTTTTAGTATATTTAGCTGTTTTGATTTATCACCCACAAGCAAATTATAAAATTATACCGTCAATAAAATATGTTAGTAATAATATATAATAAAATTTATATTCTTATAAATATTACTCATTTTGTAAACTATAGGGAGCTTCAAAAAAAAATTGTACTTTATTGGCGGTAACATATAAATTAATTTTGCTAGTCAAAATAACAGTCAAAACAATTTCTATCAAGTGAGTTTTATTGTATTTTAGTTTTTAAAACTTATTTTTAGTATTAATTTTGCCAAGCAATTTTTTTTGTTTTTAAATTCTAAAACTGTTTTTGAATTACTATTACCAAACAAGTTTTTTTTTTTAGTTTGTTCTCAAAAACAGTTTTTAAAATTATTTTATAAAACAATTTTTAAAAACAAATAATGAAAACAATAACCAAACAAGCTATACCCTGATCCTTAGTATGACTTATTTTAAGTTTATTTGATGATCACACCAACTCTACTGCCTAGCTATTACCTTTGATTTAGAGCAGAAGGCACTAATAATTAACCTTTCACGTGGCCAAAAACAAAAATATTCACCTCACATAGACTAATGGTAATAACAAAGTTAACGCGCACCACAACTGTTAAAACAAGGCTTAAATAAATTCCCCTCATTCAATCAGTATTTCATTTATAGTTGTTAAAATATTTTATTAATATTTAAAAATTATCTATACATATTATTTTTTTAAAAAAATTCAAAACAATTATCATTATCAAAGCACCCTTCACATATTTTGTTTCCTATTTAATATTTAATACTTTTTGGGTATTATATCACAATTTCTTGCAACCATTCAATTCAATTAAATTATTATTATTATATACATGAGATATTTATTGAATGAGTAGACTCGGATCACTTACCCCATCTAAATCTATAGAAACAATAACAAACAGGTTCATAAAAAAGCAACATAATTAGCAAAACAATTTCTGAAATATTGCAATGCATGATGAGATCCAAGGAAAGGACGAATCTACATTTGTTGAACCATGCTCCTCCTGCTTCATTAAAAAACACGAACTAACATAAAACCTCACATCAAACCAGCACCAAGAGCAACAAAATCAAACCAGAAAGCCATGAAAATGCAGAATATCTCTTCATCAGATATATATAGCTGCCGCCATGAAATTGCCTTGAGCATATCAGAACCGTAAAACGAAGAATCCTGTAAACAAGAACCGATCAACCACCATAAAACACTAAGAGCAAAAAAAAAAACATGTTGCTGAGCTTGGATAAAATTTAAAATGACAGACACCACCCTCACCTCTTCAGTACGTCCTGATGATGTAAACATAAGTTTAAAAGAAGTGGTTATCTTAAAAGACAAGCTTATTAGGTAAAAGAGCTCTTTGAATTTATAAATCTCATTTCGATGTTACGGTCTACTTGACACGGTACTCATAACACTTTCACATGAGGCGAAACAAAAAACAACAGTTTATATATATATATATATATATATATATCTTGTAACCTTTTTTTTTTTTTTTTTTTATTAACTAATATTGCTCTAAAATCAGAATCTATATATTAACTCACCTGAGCCTCTGTGCTTCGTGGCTCTATAAATAATGCAAAGGACATCATTCATCACCAGTAACATGCACACAGCCACGTGTATTAGATGGTGATGAGTTATTGGTCTTATATACGCACACACAGACACAAGGCATGCATTGTTGATTAGATCAATAAAACATGGCTGATTCTGAGGTTCAGACCAAGTCCTGCAGGTAAGTATATCCATCTCTGAGAGAACTTGCACAATAGCTTATCCATTGCTGATTCTGATCTCGATCTCTACACTTGTGTGTGTGTGTATAGAGAGAGAGAGAGAGATCAGAATATTAATTAGGTTACTAATTGTGATGCATGTAGAGGGGTTCATGTGTGGGTTATTGCGGAGAGCACAAAACAAGTACTTCTCCAACGACGTCGTTCGGGCTTGTGGGATGTCTCTGCTTCTGCAAACATGGCTGCTGCTGCTTCTTCTTCCTCTTTCTTCACTGCTCGGTAATGTATTCTTATGCATTTCTCTTTCTTCTTATTCTTACATTTAATTTTCCATGTCAAGGATCACTTCGATAATATATTCTCCAATGCAAATAATGAGTAATTCTTGCTAGATTGGTTGAAACTTTTTTCCTAAATTTTAATTTGGTATAATTCAATTTTTATAATTTTAATTATTTAAAATGTTAATCATTATATTTTAAAAAATAAAATTATATTAAAAACTATCATGCATAATTCAACAAGTCGAGAGATTGTTGAATCAACTTATTTTAAAGTTTGAAGTTTAAATACTAAAATATGTGGTTATATTAAATAAATATACCAAAGTATCACCATGGTACTTGTGAGGCTATCGTGAGTAACAATGGTTCTGCGCAGTGATGTCACCTCAAGTTTCCCATGATACCGTACCATACGGTGAAATTATATTAAGAAATAGAGTTATGTTTTGAATTTTAAGGATTAATATTTTATATATACCCTACAATTATGGGGATGGAGTTACACTAAATTAAAATTCGAGAAAAAAATTATAGTAATTAAATTGGACCATGTTAAAGTTGAAAGATTAAATTGTAATTAAGTTAAAATTATAAAAACCAAATGGTTAAATTTTCCAAAAAAAAAATTCACAAAATTCAGATATTTGTCACAAAGAGATATTAGCAATTTATCATTGATATATGAAAATTAATATGTTGTTCACGATGGTAAACCACTAAAATGTAATGAAGTAATCCTCCGGTTTTGAATATAGGGAGAATGACATTAAAATCTTTAAACTTAAAATTTATAATAATTAGGTCCTCAACAAAATTTTTAAAAAATTATTTATAAATATTGATTCAAATAGTCATAAATCTAGAAGTGCTATCTACAAATAAGACGGTTAAATTAAATTTTAAAAATAACTTTCTATTTGCGGTTGAGATTTCTATTTACAACTATTTAAATTAATATTTGTAACTTATTTTTTAAAAAATTTTATCAGGCATTTAACTGTCATAAATTCTAAGTTTTGAAACTTTATTGTCATTCTCTCTCTTATAGATGAGCAAATAATATGCCTGAATGTTGATATGATACATATTGCTCAAATATAATTTTTTGTAATCCTTGCCAAATTTTGCTTACTAGCTAACATGATTAATTTAATTATTTTCATTATTCTTTTAATTTTCAGGAGGGAGGTCAAGGAGAAGTTAGGCATAACCCTTCCAAATGATGCGTTTGAATTGTTATTTATTTTCCGTCAAGAGGGGTCAGTAGTTTAAAACGCTTCCTTATATCTAGTTTGCCAAATAATATTTAATTTCCTTTAAACTAAACTTCAATATCAAATAATTTGTGCTTAATTATAAATGCTCTAATTAATTATATTAATTTAATTTGAGTTTCAGTGTCATAAATGATGTATATGTGGTCACAACTGTTGATCCAATACCATTGGAGGCCTTTACTCATCAGGTAAAAAATGGACACATTAAAATGTAATGGAATTAATACCATGAATTTTTTTTCATGATAGTGAGAATGATACAAAGAATATTTATTTTTATATTTGATTACAAGAAAAAAAGTTTAAAAAAAAAAAGGACTCCACAATGTTGTAGTTCCTTAGAAGAGGGGTATTTGTGGAAATGGCGTGATTCCAACATGAGGGAATCAGAATTCATCACATTTTTTGGAGAGAATCATCACTTTCAACAAATCTGGTAAATGAGGCTTTCCATAGAACCAGGATTTATACAACAAAAAAAGCAAGCCAAACACAACAAATCAGGGAATGCATGCAATCAAGATTATCAAAGAAGTTTGCATGACCTGATGCAAATGATTTTTTTATTTTTTATTATTGAAATGACAGGAAACAGAAGTTTCAACCGTCAAATACATCTCTTATGAAGAATATAAAAGGCTACTGGCTAAAGAAGATTCTGATTATGCCCCTTATGATGTTCACGGACAGTACGGTCAACTTTTTGATACTTTTGAAATGAGGTATGTCACATTTCTTAAAATTTCTCAAACATGAAGCAAATGTTCCTTTTGTTTTCTAATTACACATGCTGGAAAAATTAGATTATTTAAGTATTCTGCTTTTGTTTCTTGTGCTGGTGGCATAACCTCAATCTTAGTTCATGTACATAGCTTTCTTAACACTACATTGTTGAAAATTGAACCAATCATTGAATTATTTAAGGCACTGCTTTAAAAGTTAATAGTCAAAACTATAGTTGAACTGTGATTAAATCAATAAAAAATAAAACATTTTATTAAACCGATCAATATACTAGTTTAATGATTTACTTGTTCAACTGAGTAAGTTGACCTGAATTTTCATATTTCATTAACACTATAGCTTTGCTAAGGAATACAAAATTATGAGCTGAAAAATTTATTACACATTGATCATGTGCTTATTTTTGGTTTGTCAAGGTACAAGGAGGATACTGTAGCTCGCAGTTTGACTTTGCAGAACCAACTAAAACGTTATGCTCCTATTTCACTCAAAGCAGAGGTTGTCGAATTTTTCATACATGTGATACCATAACTTATTTTTCCAAAATTTGATGTAGCTCCTTAATTAATCATCAGAAATATATTTGATTTTTATGTCTTGCAGTTGACAGGGCTCACTGAATCAGACAGAAATGCTCTTTTTTTTCTTGTCAAGGCTGCAGCTGTTATGGATGAAATTTTTTATCTTCAGGTCAAGTTTACATTTTTTTTAAAATGATAAATTTGTTCAAGTATTATTTTCTCTGTAAGTTTTTCTATAGATTTTATTTCTGTAAGTTACATTATGTGGGCATGTTCACATCTAGTTTATAAAATTTGTAACATCACATTTATGATGCTTATTTTCTATGCCCACATAAAAGTTTGGAAAAATGACAAATAAGAATTTCAAAATGTGCAAATAACCAATTAAGATCATGAAATAATGAAATCAAATTTTAGGACGATGGTCCTTATTTGTAGTTTCAAAAATAATACTTTGACTAAAGAGCCCCTATTTGAAATGCCAACTTAAAATTTAATAGTGCTTAAATCACTTTAATTGAGCTGGAAATTTAGTTAAAAGGGGTTATGAAATCACTTTATTTGAATAGAAAAAGTTTTTACTCCCAAACTTGCAAGTTATCTCCAGACAGGGCATTTTAGTCAAATTACTGTTTTTAAAACTAAATAAAAAAAGACTATAATTCTAAAATTCGATTTCATAATTTTGTGGTCTTGAGTTGTTTGCAATATTCTGAGGTCCTTATTTGTGATTCTCCCTATAATTTTTTATGCATTGTAGTGCCGGTCTGATACTTTTGCATTCAATGTCATTTTTGGGGAATCTCGATGCCACTTTTGTGAGACACTACAAATGGGAGCTTTTGGAAAAAAAAAAAAAAAGCACATTTGAAATGCAAACCAAACAGACCAATTATGATAGATTGTGAGAGAATTCAGGGAATATTGTGTTATTTTCAATAGAAGAATGTGTTTATATACACAATAATTAAATCAGTTGGCTCAACTAGCATGACAATCTAACTAACTTAATCTCGAACTCCCTTAACTACCAAGCTAACCTTACAGATTGTTTTAAGCACATTACATAGTTTGATTGGAAAAAATTTATTTCTTTCTTCACAAGGTTGTGTGGTAGTTCACATTAACTACTACAGTTTGTCAATTTGTCAAATCAGGCTTGGCACAGTAATCCAATTCTAAAAGATTGGTTGAAGAAGCATGCTCATAGATCAGAGTTACATAAGTTGAAATGGTCCTATTATCAAATTAACAAGACCCCATGGTAAGTCACAATGGCTTACTCTATTATATTATTAGATGGTATATAATTTTACATCCGCTGAGATAGATTGGTGGATTAATTTAGGCCCTTTTATAGCACACTATGGGAAGTTGAAAATTCCATATAAATTGGGCTATCACTATTTTCAACACACTATTGGTTTTTATAGTTAGAGAAATGAAAAGCTACTTTAAATTGTGGAATCGATGATAAAAGCCAAAAATGTCTTTTTTGGATTACTTTTAAATTTAAAAATGAAGGATAATTTAGTTTTTTAACTTTAAATTATTTCCTTTTGTTAATAAAATGAAAAGATGATTGGGGAAGAGATAATCTGAACTGAAATGATACACGCATTTGAAGCTTCTTTTGACAGTTCTTTTGACAAAATATGAACATTCTACTACCTTGACTTGAGCACAACAATTTTTTTTTGTTTTGATTTCTTGACAGGGTTCTTTTTTCTCTACAAAAAAATAAAATAAAAATAAAACCAAGTTCTTTAAAGTATTTTGAATAATTTTTTCACTGTTGATAGGTCAAGCCTTGATGAAGACAAGGCATTTTTGACAACAGCAGATTCAGCAATAAGGTTGCTTCCAAAGGCAACAAGGCCAGTCAAAGGGTGGAAGGGTTTGGAATATAGAGCAGCATTTCCTGTTCTGAAACCACCTGGGGCAAACTTTTACCCTCCAGATATGGACAAAATGGTAAATTATCAATAATAATATAATATACTGCAGGAAAGAATTTGATTTTGAAGCATGGAGAACAATATGAGCAAGTGTCTTGTAGGAATTTGAAGCATGGAAGGACAGTCTAGAAAAGGATCAACAGAAAGAGGCAACAGGATTTTTCAGTGTTATCAAAAGGCAGAGTGAATTTTATTTGGATTCTGATATGTCAGATACCAACGTGGGTGCTACACCTGATCTTTATATAGCTCCTTATTCACAAGAGTACAAGTCTCTTCTTGTTAAAGCTTCAGAGTTATTGCATAAGGCTGGAGATCTTACCAGCTCACCGAGGTATACTTCCTTCTGATTCTCATCATTGATCTGTCATTAGGTCTCTCAAGTGGAATATTGTTTCATGTACAGATATTGGTGACTAATTAACTCTTTCTTTCCAAGTATAGTTTGAAGAGACTGCTACATAGCAAGGCTGATGCTTTCCTTTCAAATGATTATTATGAGTCTGATATAGCCTGGATGGAGTTGGTTAGTCATTTTCTTTAATCAACTTCAAACTATTATTATGCTTTCCTTTTCATTTTTTCCCCTTACTCTGTTTCCATACCTTCCCTATTTGTCATGATAACTTGATAAGAATGCACATTATTTTTTTTGGGGGTTGGGGGAAGAGAATAAAAAGCTTCTTGATATTGCTCCCACTGGATTTTATATGACTACCTATAGGTTGTCAATTCAGGTCAAGCCCTTCAGACTATTTGTTTAGGTCATGCGTTTGGAAAAAATGAGGGATTTTACATTAAAGAATTTTTACGCTCAACCCTTTTAAGTTCTTTAAAAATGGATTCAGGCTCAAATTAACCCTTTTAAATCTGGAATTTTTTTTTTCTAGTTAACCTGTGGTTGAAATTGTCAATATTTGTGAAATAACATAGTTGAAGTTGTTTGGTTTATTTTAATTTTTAAATTAATATATAAAATGACACATTTTTTAAAATTATATATTAACATAATTAAAATTTTAAATAAAAAATAAAAAAATATGCAAACTTTTGGGCTTAACCCTAAGCCATGTCAGTGAGGCCAGGCTTAAGAAACATGTTTAATTTTAGATATGTAAGCCAACCTTTATTAACAGCCCTCCATACCTATAAACGTCAATGACTTATGTACCATTAAGTGCTTTATAGTTTTGGGTGCAATGTGCTTTACTTCACTGAAATTTTCAAAGATCATACAATTGTTGTTGATTTTTCCCTCTGCTGTCATAGGACTCAAAGTTGGATGTTACTATTGGGCCATACGAGACTTACACGGATAAACTTTTCGGGTGCAAGGTAAATTTTACAGTATGATTGAGGTTAGATAGACAGTGTAAGTTTCAAAGCTTGATCATATAGCTATATAAATTATTTATATCTTTTCAGATGAAATGTGATCATGCTTCCCACGATTGTTGTATAGTACTATTGGATAAAGTAATCGTTACCATCTGGCTAATTATAAGAATTGTGAATTTTTTGTCACCAAAATGCAAGGTTCATTCATGAAATGTCTATTTTGTGTAGGACATAGGATATCACATTCATGAAATGATTGTCACTTTAGAGTTTCTCACATAAATAAATTAAAAAAAAAAAGAAGTTAACCTAAGATTGGAAAGTTTAAGATAGTTAGATCTCAACCTCACCAGAGTTAAGACAAACTTTTAAATTTAAAGATGGCTTACAGAAGTATGTACAGATTACCTACTAATAAAGTCCTCACATCAGTAACAAGATTTGATCCCATAACTTTGTGGGTTATAAATCAAATCTTTACTAATTGACCAATCTTTGTTGGTTAAAAAAAATTATTAAATAGTCAAGATTGTACCAAAATCTAACAGTATTTGATTATTTTATATTAACGAGGTGCTAGCAATCTCTAAGAGTTTTTCATGCTGCAACGTCTAAGTCAATCTAAACGTAGTTCTAGTCAGTGAACTCAGTGTAAACAGTATCTCAGTTTGAGAAAATTAGTATCTTCTAAATTAGGACTTAGAAATTTCATCGAAATTTTTCAAGGCTACTTTTGAAGCATTTATTGGAGTCCGGGATGATAAAGCTTCAGCTCAACTCAAACTCTTTGGTGACAATTTGCAAGTACAATTTCTCATCAGATAAGACTTCAAATTTAATTTTTCCCCCAAAGTTATGAGCTATCAAAATCTTACTAATTTCTTCTTCTGAAGGTTCTAGAACAAAATCTCCCAATGGACAGTGCATACAAATCAAAACATGTAAATGCTGCACCTATCCGTATTATCCAGCTTATATATAATGCCGGGGTAAGTGTCAAGAATAGCGTAGTATATTCATCATCATTTTCTTATGATGTTTATTGATTAACTTAGATTTCTGGGTTATTAAATTATTAAGTTGGCGAGTTCTTTGTCAGGATGTGAAGGGACCACAGATTGTTGCTTACAATCTACCAAATGATGAGCGTATAGTAAAAGATCGAGGAACATCAATGGTCATGCTTAAGAATGTTCAAGAGGCTAAGTAAATATTACATTTTTATTCTGATCAAGTAGCAAAAATGAATGGATCTCTTCTCGGTTTATGCGTGTCATCCTTGCACAGGGAATATGTGTTGAGTCCCATATTGAGGAGCCTTACAAGTGAAGTGAGATTTGTAAGCTTCTTTGTGTAGTTCCAATCTTATTGGATGTCCCCAAGGGTACTGAATGGATCTCTTCTGTTGCATTTCTTTCCTTTTGGTTCTTTTTTTTTTTTTTTTTGGGGTAAACTTGCTGCCAATTATAATCAGGTTTAAGCATATTCTTCTGCCCATTGCTGAAATCTGTGTTGCAAAGGAACAACAAGAGCTTGTGGATTTTGAGTCATTCTTCTCCCATACAATTTGCCATGAATGCTGCCATGGGATTGGACCTCATTCCATAACACTCCCAAATGGCAAGAAGTCTACAGTGAGATTGGTCAGTTGCATGATGCGTGTTTTATTTGAGAAAATTCTGTAAATTTTGAGTACTTTCACAGAAAAATCAGTCACTTAAGCTTTAATGATTATGTTAATGGCGTAGCTAACAAACCATTATATGTCATAAAAAAAGATTTTACTTCTCTATTGTAGGAGCACGATACTGTAAGGAGAGAGATAGACACATGAGGTGGATAGGTCCCACCTAACTTGCAGGACCCACCACCCTTGTCAATTTTTTTGTTCAACAGTCAAATTGAATGCGGCTTTTATTAGGAAGAAGCTATTAATGTTGTAAGGAGAGAGATAGACACGTGTGACTTAATGATTGGGTTTTCACATTCTAGCAAGATTATTGAGGAGACAGAGAGAGGAAATAGAAGTCCCTAAACACCATTAATTGGTTGTTCAAATATTGAGAATTGAAGTATTAATAATTCAGAAAGTTACAATTCTGAGCATCATTTCATTCTGTTTTGATTTTAATTTTTATAATCTCTTTTTTCTTCTGATGCAGGAATTGCAAGAATTCCACTCAGCTATGGAAGAAGCAAAAGCTGATATAGTTGGTCTCTGGGCATTGAGGTTTCTAATCCAAAAAGTCAGTTTCTAATAATAACATTTATCACTCAATACATGTGTCAATGTCTCATTTTCAACGGCTAATCATGCATGTGACATGTTTTGACCAGTGCTTCTGAGGTTGTCTTCATCAGTAAAAAATTTCTGTTCTAATAATCACTTAATCTTATGGATTAGCTGGATACTTTAGTCCTATAATTTACTTCAATTAGAATTACAATTCATGTTTGATCACTCCTAAATTTTTCTTCATAGAAACTTTTACTAATGCTAATTTATGGTGTGTACTTGTGGATTACCAGGACTTGCTTTCCAAGAGCTTATTGAAGTCCATGTATGCTTCTTTTCTCGCTGGATGCTTCCGGTCAGTACGTTTTGGCTTAGAGGAAGCTCATGGGTAAGCAAATTATGCGTTGTTCTTCCACTTACTACCCAAAATCGTGCCTATCCAATTGGTTTGGTTCGGTTTGGTTTAGTTTTTGCCCAAAATTAAACTAAGTTGAACCTTTGAACACCTTCAAGCATCTGATTTCACTATATATTTTGATTTCTTTTTGTCAGAAAAGGACAGGCATTGCAGTTCAACTGGTTATATGAGAAAGAGGCATATATCTGGCACACTGATGGCACATTTTCAGTTGATTATTCCAAGGTGTGTGTTTCTGTGTGTGTGTGTGTGTGTGTGTGTGATTTGGCTCAAATCCTCTCTAGTTTGTTTGTTTGACCCTTTGATTGGTTTCAGAAAGAATAAATTATAATGTTGTTCTTGTTTCAAAGATTGAAGGTGCTGTTGAGAGTCTGAGCAGAGAGATACTGACCATACAAGCCAAAGGTGACAAAGAGGCTGCAGGCTTGCTTCTTCAGAAGTATGGAGTCATCTCAGAACCACTCAAACTTGCTTTGAAGAAGTTGGAGAATGTTCAGGTAACCACACTATACTGTTATTTGCCACTTTGCTAAGCTGATATGCCTTTCATTTAGTATATATTACTTATTAAGTAAATGGGCGAAGAGTCCCAAAAATGGGGGAAAAGAATAAATGGGCAAAGAACAGAATAAATGCCATATCTTAATATAAACCTCAAAATCCAAGTTTAGGTGTCCTACCATTTTATTATATATTACTTATTAAATCTAATTTTATCATATATATCAGATTTTTCATATAAACTCAAGTCTTTTTTTTTTTGGCCAAAGATCAACTCAAGTTTATTAACACTGGACAATCTAACAATAATAAACAGGCCCACCAAATATCTTTATTTTCCTTCGCTCCTCACCTGGACTCCAGATCTATCAAGAGAGAATCAAAGCAACTCCTAGTATTTAGCTCTGAAATATCTGAAGGTCACTTGTTTGCATGCTGCTCAATGCTTTTTTGAAATTTCAATACAAAGATAAAAAAAAGGTGGACTCAAATTCTAGTGGGATATTTACTGTGTTTTACGGCAAACTATTTTTTTTTCCCTTTAGAGTACACAAATAAATAATAATCCAATAAAAATCTCGAGTAAAAAGAGATGCATTGATCGAATAAAATGTTGGATGGGAAGTTTTAAATTTAGATTCTATTAATCAAAAATAGAGAGAAGAAATAAAAAGTTATAATAACATAAAGAGAAGCTGAGTCTAATATAAACCCCCTTTTCTGATTTATTTTTTGCCTATCCCAACTATTCATGAGGTTTATTAAATAGTAAATTATAACCTTTCAAAAAAATAGTAAATTATAAAAAATAATATTATGCTATTAAGTTGTAAATTACAACAATTCCTCTAATAGCTTCTCTTGTGGATTTTACAGGTTCCTGTTGACATAGCCCCCTCCTTTCCCATTGCTGAAAAGATCTTGGAGTAAATTGACAAGAGCCAAGGCACTGAACTTTCCATCTTTCAGGATAATAAAATATGCTTCAAGTTTACTCAAAAATAAATAAATAAAATTAGCTTCAAGGATATGTACTGGAAGCTCATTTGCATGTTATGCCACTTGTTCTTGGCAAAATAATTGAACTTGCTGCTGTTGTTAATTTCAACTTCTGTGGTTATTAACTTCATCATGCTGGAATAATATGTTGGCCATTTCTAGACCTTTGGAGGAAGTTAAGGAGAGAGAATAAAATTTTTCTCTTTTTCTTTTTCTTGAATAAAGGATCAAGTTATACAGAAAGATAAAAAGACATTACATAACAAGGTTTCTGAGGTTAAGTAATATAGTTCTAGTTGATCCTGAAAAGTTGGAAACTCAAATTCTGCATAACTCATGAAGTAATTTGTCAGGTAAATCTAGAGTTTTATATTAATTGTTTGAAAAATACCTTTTATAATTAAACCTCTTAAACAAGCAAGTTATTTATGCCATTGACATTATACATAAAATAAATTTAATTTTTTTAAAAAATATTAAATGATCAAGATGTGTATAAATTTCTTGAAATGTTACTCTCATATAGAAAACTTACTTCTTACGAAGTAATTTTTTTTTTTTTAAGGAAATGTGAATAGTTGTATCAAGTGACCTAAGTATTATTTAAACTAAAATTAGTTGGCGACATTTTGACTTTGGGTTCACATATTTAAAATTTGATTTTAAATTAATAATTTTATATTTAAAATTAAATTTGTTTAGTTATATAGTGTAAATTTTTTTGATAAAAAGAAAAGAGTTGAATCACATGAAACGAAAGATTGAGATAACAAATTTGTTTTCACTTTTCAATCGGTAAAAAATAAAAACGGGAGATGGAAGAAAACAAACCAATAGCTGTTCCTGTTAAGAAAAAAGATCGAAGAATTCACATATAGTTATTTTTAAATTACAATTAATTTTTGCTGAAGAAGGATATTTTGGTAACTATACATCAAAATTAATTACGATTATAGTCTTTGCGACTTGAGAGTTATTTATACATTTCATTTTGGGAAAATTAGAATCTATACACGGGCCTTCTATGTGATTTTCTCAAAAATGTTCAGAGAATCTGCTTTTTCTTTTTCTTTTTTCTTTAGTCAAATTAAAAATTTGAATTACCTCCTCGTATCGGGAAAGTTGTCGCTTTGTGTTTTCTTGTTGGAGAAGCAGAAAAGCTCTGACAGTAAACGCTGTAGACACTAGACGGGGCCTGGATGACGACTTCAGAAACTTCAAACCTAAGCCGACCACAACGAGGTAAACAAATTTTCTCATGGTTATCGTCGAAATTTGTTCGTTTTCAAGAAAAGAAGAAGAAGAAGAAGTGTTGAGGATCTTGCAGAAACAGTGCCAACGGATGATTTTATTTTCTCAGCTAACAAGGGTTTGAGAAAGTCAGAGGGTTCGAAGGAAGGAATTAGCCCACTTACTAAGAAATATTGGCATCAACGATACAGGCTGTTCTCGAAATACGACCAAGGCATCCAAATGGATGAAGAAGGTTGGTTCTCTGTAACACCCGAAGAAACTGCCATTAAACATGCTCAGAGGTGTTCAGATCATGACCTTGTTATTGATTCCTTCTCTGGAGTTGGTGGAAACGCTATTCAGTTCGCCGCAAAGTAAATTTATTTCTTATTATTTTTGCTTAAATTCAGTACTTGCTTTAATATTCTGAAACTTGACATATAATGCATCACGGATGATGAAACTTTCACTAGCATAGCATAGTATTGAAATCCTGACTGTTTGAACCGGTAAACAGTTGAAGACATTCCTTTGACATGTTTAATAAAATAACTTGCATATGGCCGATGACCATGGTTCTAATTTTTTAACTTCTTGAATAAGTGTCTTGAGTTCAATGACCAATCTGCGTTATTACTTAAATTTTCCTTAGTTATTAATTTATTCCCTCAAGTTTAATTTTCATTAATTTAGTCCTTTAAAGTTATATTTAATTATCATGTTAGTTCTTTCAATTTTAAAACACAAATATACTATTCTTGTAACAGAAAAAATACAAATATACTCTTAAATTAATATAATGTGTAGAGCATGTTGGTGACTTGACAAGTATACCTAGCTCAATGAGAACAAATTAACCTTAAAATCAGTGTAATTTTTATTAACGCAGTCCCTTATCCTGTTTGTTGTTCTTTTTGTTTTTAAAAAATTTGAGTGTGTTTTTTTTCCTATCTAAATAATGACACTTCTTTTCATTAACTTACGTAACTACCATCAATATTTTGTTATTTATGTCAGCAAATTTTAACAATGTTACATCCTCCTTAAACAATAAAGACTAAATCAATAATTGAAATATACTTAAATAATCAAATCAGTAAAAATTAAACTTAAGGGGCCAAATTGATAATTGAGGCTAACTTAAGAGACTAAAAGTTTCACTATCTCAGTATATTGCAGTACTATTTGTTGCTTCATATTCTAAATTGAGTAATTGCTTTCCTAGTCTGAGCCTTGAAGTATACTACATTACATTATTGAAGGTCACCTTCTCCTTGGCAGCATCGAATTGCTTGTGTGCTTGTTGGACTTGGATTCCTCGCCCTTCCTAACTCCATGGGGTGCTCAGGATTAGTTATAAAGTTAGAATATTTGTGTTACTTTTATAATTTTATTTTACTTATAATCAATTTTTACAAACCTAATACACTGCACTTGAGCACTTGACACATTTTGACAAAGCAGATGAATTTTTTTCCCCCAACATTTATAAACTAAGCTGAAAATGGTGCATTGTAGTTTTATGGTAAAAATGCAATGCAAGAACTCTGCTAGTGACCAACTTAAATTTATTATTTTTAATATTGACTTTGGTTGACTGTGTTTATGTATAAAAGTATATTCTGTCGGAACAGCTTGTATTTGTTCATGCAGTTTGCACCTGTTTGGAGCTATTGATTTGAAAGCAGTGCGATGGGTTAGAATTGGTTACTATCTTAAACCTTCATTTCCATGCTTTTGCTTTGGAACCTTACAGGAACTAGATGAGACACACACAAAAGGAAAATACTACTTTGGGTCCCTATACTTTAATTGTATTTTGTTTTTAGTCCTATAATTTGTTTTTGTTGTTATTCATCCCTTCTATTTGATCCGTCTGCAATGTTAGTCTTTTTAATTTGAAAGATACTCATAATGACCATGAGCAAATCCAAATGGTTTTTTATTTTACTGCCATGGACTTAATACAATTTATAATTAACCTAGCCCAAAACTGCTTCTTCCAAATTATCACATAATTTGACACTGTTAAATCTGTGGAACCGTGCAGGAACTAAATGATGAGCGTGTGCGCATGTGTATAAACACAACATAGTATCTTAGTTCTCATAGTTTGTTATATCAATTTTCAGGGGCTGTCATGTTATTGCCATAGACATAGATCCTGTAAAAGTTGAGCTGGCCATGAATAATGCAAAAGTATATGGAGTTGAGGAATATATTGATTTCATTGTTGGAGATTTTTTCGCACTTGCTCCGTCGCTGAAGGCAAAATTTTATTGTCACTTTGTTGAGAGTTATGTTCATTCACAATAACTCGATTCATTTTACTATACTATGATGATACTATTACTTTTATGCTTTCATTCTCAGGGGGATATAGTGTTTCTTTCACCGCCATGGGGTGGTCCTTCTTATAAGGACATTCAAACATTTACACTCGAGTTACTTAAGCCAATAGATGGGTATGTCACGCTTACTTGTACCTTGAATGCTAAACTTTCCTAGAAATTTGTATAATCGCTTGTTTGATTTTGAGTCAAATTAACTTATAGCCTTTTGTTTTCCGGGTTATAGGACGAATTTACCTAGGAAGTTTTCTGCTGGGTGCAATTGGTATTCTTCACTTTCAATTAACACAATGTTATCCTGGAAGTTTAAAAAGTGGTGCAATGTCATTGTGTTAACATCTGACCAACGTTAATTGCTAGTCAAATGTTATTATAGGGTGACACTGCCATTTTTGAAACTTCCAGGATAACATTGTGCCAATCAAAAGTTAAGGACACCAATTGTGCTCCATGGAAAACTTCCAAGACCAATTTGCCTTATAACCTTTTTTTTCCCCTTCTGCTGCCTTCAATTCCCATTTACATCAGCGTGTACTGGCTTTTTTTTTTTTTTTGCCAAACAGAATGTCAGTGGCAGCTTAAGTGTACTGTTGATCTCTCTAGTTCCTTGAAAGCTATATTTGGTTCCCCTGGTTTAAAATTAGGCAATGTGGTCATCTTATTTGTTTAAAATAAGTCAGTTTTCTTTCTGTATCTCAAACCTATACAAATTTAATGTTAATAATAATTTGTGGACTTATACAATATTGTTTCCGAACTTGACATTGAAGTCAATATATTAAAATTGTTATGATATTTTATATAAACAAGAAGGCAGAAGAACAAATTTGGTTCACTCTTTTAAATAGGAGGACGTTGTTTTTTAAACTACGTGGGCTGAAGTGAAACTTGCATGAAACTAGGGGAACGAAAATGTGTCTAAGCCAATAGTCGCCAATTAGATATTCAAACTTCTGTTACTGGTTTTCATGGAAGCTGTTATGCATTTATGAATCTGTAATGATTGAATCTCACTGAAACCTTAGATTTTATGGATCTTTTGCCTTTGAAATCTAGCCAACCATTGCTTTTCTTTTCTTTTCTTTTCTTTTTTGGTTATTGATTTTTAGGCTGGCACTAACTTCCCTATCTCAAGACATATTTGGATCCATCTTTAGTTGACTCAAATGTAACATGCCTGGTAATGTTCAGGGTGTTGGTGGATCTCTTTTTCTCTCATTTAGGATTTAGTTATTTATTGATAAAATACAATGATGTTGTGTGATTCATTCAAGGGCTTAATGGTGATTTTGCTTTTAGATGGTAAGTTTAGGAGTGTTAAGGACTCCACTCATTTTTAATGCAATGTTTTTTTTTTCTCCAACATTTTAAAACGGTGCAATGTCACCTTACCATTAACAAATGTGAATTTTGAATATTAATTGGCTAGAAAATTGCAAAAAAAAGATATCAAAAATTACAGAAAAGAGCCAAAAAAATTATAAATTTTTTATATGGTACTTTTCTATAATTTTTTGGTCAAGTAATGGTCAAAGTTAATTTTTATTGACAGTAAAGCTAACATTGCATCATTTTTAAATGTTGAACGGAAACATTGAATTAAAAATGAGTTTAAGATCTCAAACATTTTTAGACTTATAATTTAAAGGTAATTTTATCCTTTAACCACTTATTTGACTAACCAAATTTGGTGACACGAGACTTCTTGTTTTGAGGTGGAAAAATGTTAATCCTTTTTGCAGTTATACTTTGTTTCAGGTTACTCAAGCTATAACTCCCAATATCATTATGTTTCTACCTCGGAACATAAACCTGAAACAAGTTCCGGAGTTGTCCTGGTTGTCTTCTCCTCCTCTGGAGCTTGAGGTAAAATGTCTGCAATATTTGGTTCATGCTAGAATTGTGTTTCCACTTACAATTTTAGGATAGAGACAGATTACAACAAAGGTGAACGGTCCAGAACTTCCTGTCCAAGTACTATTGTTTCAACTTTGCAGGTTGAACCAAATTATATACAGAACCATCTCAAGGGTGTTACTCTGTACTTTGGTAGTACGGTAGCTGCTTCGCCGAGATGTTCTACCGATGCCGATGATCTTGTATGAATCACAGGGTATAAAGTCCTTCCATATGAAGACAGTGTAATTAAAAGTGTTGAATGCAATCTTCTTTTATCAGCAAAAAATTGGATGGTCATGGGATGAATTAACAGCCATGCAGGCTTTGACGGTTTTTTTTTTTCCCCTTGTTTGGAGCTATCTCAATTTGAACTAAAATGGCAATGGAAAGAAAGCAACAAGAGGCAACATATAATGACCTTTATTATTAACTCCTAATTAACTCCACTAACTGATAATTTAAAAAGAAATGGTCAACTATGACTTTAAAGTTTAAAAATAAATATAAAGATTGAACTTGAAATTAGGGTCTTACATACGTATTTGAAGAAATAAATAGTATTTTTCAGCAATTAGAATGATTGAGAATATTGAAAACATGGAATATGCAACTTAGCTTTGAGGGAGGGATACTGAAGAACATAATAGTTATTTTGGAAATTTGCACTAGCTTGATGTAGCTAAAAGTTTCCTCGCTGCGGTTATGTGTGAATTGACGCACTAACCCCAACTAGAGGCATGTTCATTGCAGTGCAAGTAACCATGACTCGCTGATTGCATCTAACAACGTTACTCGTCACAATCAACACTACCAAGCACTCACCACAATAAATCCTGCGTCAATAACAAAGTAAACATGTAAAAAATAACTTCAACCTTACTTGACTAATTACTTGGATCCCTAATTAGGGTGATTTCAAGAGTTTAAATGCAAACAAATTAAATATTTAATTACTGATACTAATAAAATGATGATAATTATGCAAGATTATATCTATTCCATCTTTATTTTTCTCCTTATATCTTCTGACTAAATTAATGAAACGTTAAAATATGTAGAACTAACTTGTATGACCAAATTAGCCTCACTCTCCAAGTGTGAGGGGTGACCCAGCTAAGGCTCCATACTCACTTTCAAACCATAGATTCTCCCATTCCAAACCCAATAGGTGTCATTTTGCCCAGTTCAGGGTAAGTATCAAGAACCAAAATATCGAGGCATTGTGGTGCTATACCACGTGGATTTTCATAATGTCCTATTATCTTAGGTGAACTCTCACCCATTCATAATCATGTATATGCTCACATTATTTAATAACTTACCATCAATGTTGCTCGATTAACTTATCTTATAATTAAGCTCATCCTATTAAGTTAAGGATAATTAACCAATATTTAAAATTTCATGCCAATACCATAAACTCATGCACAATAATACATCATTAATATATACTTTACAACCTTACTCATGTATATGATTAACTTATCAAATCACATATCCTTACTCAACTCATAACATCATGCCATAAGCACTGAATCACTTAATCACACATCCACTTTTTCATACCAATGCTTATACATTCACATACAAAAATTTATTTATCAAAATTATCGTGGTCACAATACCAATATAACATTATACTTAATAACTGCATTGAAATTTATTCAGTCATGCTATATAATTAATGCCATTAAACCTTAACACATGGCAAAACCATTCAACTCAAATCAAATTAAGATTTCTATGTCATCATCAACAATCTCATAACCACAAATCACATGCTTCATAACAATTAATACCAATATGCTTGTATAACCACATTATCATTTTCATCACAATTAACAATATATAACTTATAATTGCAAAAAACAATTATCTAAAAAGAACTTAACTCCTAGCTACTTCAACTCTTAAGCTACCACCTTAAGAGTACACTTGGGACCCCAAGAAAGCTCTTAAGCAATCAAAAAGTTCTAAGAGTAGTTAAATCCACAATTAGAATTATTAAACTTCTTAATGGCTAATCTTTATTAATTAGCTCTCAATCACGATTAAAGTCTAATACCTCCATTAAGTATAATTAAGCAAAATCAATCTCAAAACTTACTTCCATTAACTTATTTAACCTTCATTAATTTTAAACTTAATTAATTAGCATTGCAGTTGACTCTAAACCATGGTTTATTATTGTTATTAACTTAATCTAATTCAAAACAACCCAAGAATTTTGGAGTTAAGCACGCTCTTATGATAAATATGGCTGGGATTGCTTCAGATTTGAATCCTAACTTTAATCACTACTAAAACTTGTCTAAAGAGGAGATTAGAGGGTAGGAGATGGATTACAAATGTTATATTGAGTGATTAAGAGCAAAAGTTCATGCCCTAATATCAGGAACTCTAAAACTCTAGCAAAAGTCTTCAAAAATCGCCCTAAACTTTTTAAAAACTCTATTTTTGCATTTTTTTTTTTTGTGATAGAACATTTAAGTTTGAAAATGTGCTGTTTGCCGCAGCCAAAAGTGCCACTCATTAGCAACTGATAGTATCATTTCACTAACCCAACTTCATAATTAATTTCACACATCTTCAAAAATTCTAAATTAAAAATTTATAGAAAGTTTGGGATGTCTACTTTTTATATTATCATTTGCTCCTTAAAAAAATTTTATTATAAAGACAGCTCATTCTTATCTTCTTCTAAGCTCTAGTTGATTATAAATCATTTTCTAATATATTTAAATACCCTTTAAATCTCTTAAAATATAATTAACATAATTAAATTGAAGGGCAAGTATTTAGGATATTATACAACACATCTTTTGTCGTGTAGTGGTTTGGCTCTACATGTGGCTTCCAAGAGAAAATTAGGCTGCAATTTTGAGATTGATATCGGAAGCTGTTAACTAACATTTTCTGGATGTTAACTCATCAAACTTTGGAGCCTCTGTTTAATGTTTATTGATTGGGATAATTTATATATTTAACTTTATATATTTAAAATGTTTGTTTTTAATTAAATTAATATATATATATATGAATTTTTAAATTATTATTATTATTTTTTATTATGTAATAAAATATTGTTATTAATATTATTAACACACTAAAATTTAAGAGCTTTTGCATCTTTTAAATCAACATGGTGTATAAGTGTTCATTAACTTTGTAAAGAGACTAACATTTCACAATCCATTAAGTTCTATTTTAAAACTTAACGGTCACGTCACACATTGTTTTAATAGATTGAGAAATGTTAGCTTCTTTTGTAAAGTTAATGGGTATAAAATATCATTGTTGATTTAAAAATACTAAGAACTTAGAGAGAAAAGTTTTTGAATATTTTACCACTTTTACATACCTTAATTTAAAAGAATTAAGCATAGGTCCGCTATTTAAGACTTGTTGATGTATTGACTGTTGTTATTTTTTTTTTCTTTTAGGTATTAATGTTGGTTCAAGGGTATTAAAAGGGAGGGAAGTAAAAATTTTGATGAGTTTACTTTTTAAAAAATGGGCAAGCAGGGTTGTAAAATTTTAATAAAAATATAGAAAAATTAACTAAAAACGTTGACTCCACTTCTCTCTCTCTCTCTCTCTCTCTCTCTCTTCAATTGAAGTGATTAAAATTTTCCTTCATTCCCCTCGCTCATTAAAAAAAAAAAAAAAGAGTCAATGATTTTGCGGATATGAAAATCAGAAGGTACCTCTGCTTAATCTGAATTCATGTATGAAAAGGGCAAATAAGAGAGGATCATTCATTAAAAATCACAACTATGTCGTTTGAATCATAGTGGCGTTTCGGGACAAAAAAATATAAAATTCCAGTAAAGGGTCAATACTCATTAGTCCTTAATAATAATAATAATAATAATAATATAAAATTGTATAATTTCCCTTTTCCTAAAATGTTTCGTATTACATTTTAGAAAGCTGTTTGCAAATTACTAAATGGTTAATAATAAGTGACAAAATTTGAGTTAAAATCTTTGCAACAATGCTTTGAGATTTTGCATTGACTTTTTAAAATTAGATATTGATATATGAAAATTTTTAATGTTGCAATCGATGTACCATCTTAATACAAAAAATTTTAACAAATTAATTAACTCATACATATAAACACGGGAATTTCACACTACCTTCCCAAAATTTTAATATTAATATGTGGAAAACTTGCAACTAATTTTTTAAATTTTAATATTGTAAAGACATGTTGCATAGATTTGATACTCATTTTTCATAATTTACTACTGTTTCAAATTTTAACACGAAATATTTAAAAAAATAATAATTATGCAATTTTATGATATTATTAACTATCAAATGTTCTTCACTTAAATTTTAAAATGTTTAGTCTTGAAGTTAAGAGTTAAAATCTACTTTTATTTTTATATTTATTTTTAAAGAGTATTGAGTATTTTATATTTTTAAGTTAAGCAATTCTCTACCTAAACTATTCTTCGCGAAGAAAAATTGCCTTCTATTAGTGTTAGTGTGCCATTTGTCCTCCCATTTTCTGACTATCCAACCTATAAGCTATGACTCATGGTTGACCTCTGATGTGGCATCCCATTACTAGTGACATGGCTCTACTCAGAGCAAAAAGAAATGGCAACGCCGATGAATTTAAAGTCGAGAGCAATCTGCCAATACATATTCGGAGAAGGGGAACATGGTATTATACAGCACGAACTCGTTGGCAAAGGCGTCCATAGACCAATGGTTAGAGGCGGAAGGGCAGAGTTTCAACTCACCCACCTCAGTTCTAATAGTTTAGCTCGCGTTCAAGAAATGAAGGGTACGAAGACAAGGGAAATCATAAGGGAAAGTGCCGTTCAAGTGGTTATTTAAGAGATCTAAGTAATTCAATGACTTCAAAACAGAGATAGGTTTGACATTTCCTTTGATTTCACAGTTTGATAAGTTAAGGTGGTTCAAGTTGGTGAGTTTTTGAAAACCTACAAAGCAGGTATTTCATATTGTTATGAAAAAGGTCAAGAACTTTCAGCTTTGAAAACCTAGAAAGCTGAACATGATTCGTGAACCTATTGTGCGAGAGATTAAGCATTTGAAGAGCAGAGGCGGCCAAGGAGCCATTAATGCTACCTCTGAACTTATTATAGGAAAGGTTGACCTCTAGTGAGTCAAAGCTTGCCCAAAACCAATGAGGCATTTGACCTTGAAAAGAATTTCCAAAGAGATCATGAACTTGTAAGTCTGAAATATTCCTCAAAAACTTCCACGGAATAGCCCCACGGAGATTCTTGGAAGCAAGCTATTAGAGCCTTAAACTGATCATCGAAACAATGGGATAACCAAGAAATGTTGAATCCAAAGACTAATTTGAAGGGCTTGGACACAAGGTTGAGGGCTTGTTGATTGACTTTGCAAGAGGAGGAAGAAGATTTAATAGAGCAAGCATAGGGG